TATTTATTTATTTGATTTATATCCCGCCCATCTGATAGATCTATACCACTCTGAGCGGCTAACAACAATATTAATACAATTATATAATAATAATAATAATGGAGGAGGAGGAGTAATAGTAATTAGTAATAGTAATAGTAATCATCACCATCGAACTGCAGAGTTGGAAGGGACTCTATGGATCATCGAGTCCAACCTCTGCCAAGGAGGCCCAGTCGGGGAATCGAACTCCCAACCTCTAGCTCCACAGCCAGAGACCTAAAACAATGAGCAATCCAGCCAGCTACAGGGTTTTAAATAAACATCAGGTGGCCATCTTGTCATGGATACTTCAGCCGTGGGCTTCTTGCTTCCACAGGAGGTTGGGTTTGATAACTCTTGGCCTTACCGTTCCGTGAGTCTGACAGAAAAAGATAATACAACTGGATATGTCTCCTCTCTAGCTTGATCGCTTCTGTCTCTCACAGTGGGGATTAATTGGGTTCCCCCACTTTCAGCTTCCGGTTTTTGTTTTCTTTTCCAGTTTCTTTATCCATTTTTTACTCCCTTCATTCCAGCAGGTGATGGCCGGGAGGGCGAGAAGGAAAGAGAGGGGCATCGTCCCCCGGACAAAGGAGAGGATCAGCAGAGCAAGGAAACCGAAGGCACCGAGAAAAGGATGAAGGCACCCACTGCTTCTCGGAGCGCCGGCGTCTGTGAAATCCCGGTCCGAGAAAACGCAAGGACGGAAAAGGAAGGCAGCGAGTGCCTCGTCTGTGGGGAAACCTTCAGGTGCAAATCGAGTCTCAGAGCTCATCTGAAAGTCCACAAAGAGGAGAAACCCTTTAAATGCTTCGACTGCGGGAAGAGCTTCTCCCAGAGGAAAGGCCTCATTCGCCACCAGAGGATCCACACAGGGGAGAAACCCTACACCTGCCTGGAGTGTGGGAAGAGCTTCCGCCAGAGCGCGGCCCTGATCACCCACCAGCGGATCCACACGGGGGAGAAGCCGTACACTTGCTTGGAGTGTGGAAAGAGCTTCTGTCAGAAGACCACCCTGGTTCGGCACCAAAGGATCCACACCGGAGAGAAACCCTACGCTTGCCTCGAATGCGGGAAGAGCTTCAGTCACCGATCACAGCTGACGTCTCATATAAGGGTCCACACGGGGGAGAAACCCTACACCTGCCTGGAATGCGGGAAGAGCTTCAGTCAGAATACGAACCTGACTTTGCACCAGAGAACCCACACGGGGGAGAAACCCTTCAGGTGCCTCGAGTGCGGAAGGAGCTTCAGCCACAGCTCGACCCTAATGGCCCATCAAAGGACCCACACGGGGGAGAAGCCGTTCACGTGTTTAGAGTGCGGGCAGAGTTTTGCCCAAAACGCAAGCCTCATCTTCCACCAGAGGACCCACACGGGGGAGAAGCCGTACACGTGTTCGGAGTGCGGGAAGAGCTTCAGCACCAGCACGAGCCTAACCTCACACCGGCGGATTCACACGGGGGAGAAACCCTACACGTGCTCCGAATGCGGGAAGAGCTTCTGCACAAGCACCAACCTGGTGACGCACCAGAAAATCCACACGGGGGAAAAACCTTTCAAGTGCTCTGAGTGTGGAGAAAATTTCCGGAAAAAAGCGCACCTCCTCAGGCATCACATGACGCACACCGGGGAGAAGCCCTATAAATGCGTGGACTGCGGGAAGAGCTTTAGTGAGAAAAGGAACCTGGTTTCTCATCAAAAAATCCACTCGGAGTTTTGGGACGGAAGCCCTCCAAACAGTAGCTGGGCTTCGCCTTCTCTGGATTCAAAGGATGTCCCTGTTTCCCAGAATTCTAGCCCTTTCCAGAACATTCTGAGTTGTACTTCGAGCCAAGTGGAAAGTTTGGAGTGCTTTACAATATTTTTAAATGAATAAACAACCATTTCTGAAGTCTTGATAGGTCAAAAATAAAATGAATAGATGGATTTTATGAGTAAAGTTGAAGCCCGGGATGACTATCATCTATTTATAAATAGTTTGTTTATTGTGCGAATAAAGCGGCACTCAATGTAATTACAAATGTAACAAAAGGATTTTCTCTAAGTCTCAGTTTGAAACAAAAGGATTTTCTCTAAGTCTCAGTTTAAATATACAGGTTGTTGGCAGGAGTAGCAAAGATAATAAGGCTGACTCATCTTCTAGGTCTCTTAGAAATTAATGTGAATCTAGTTAAAAGTCTCTTATTGCACATCCAGGAAGCAAATATTCAAAAGATTGAACACTGTATTTTTATTCCTGAAAATCATGTCCCTGTTAGTAGCAAAGTAGTCCAATTTGAACCAACCAGTTTTGGGCGGGCCAGCCATTGTCATCTCTAGTTGCCCCAAAATAAAGATTGAGGCTTTATTTGGGGGGTAAGGCTCTAACCAAAAAGTACAGGAAGTCCAGATTTGGCACCTGGAATGTCCCATTAAAGTAATCAGTGAATAGAATGGGCAATAGAATTCTTTTTGTTCAAAGGCTTTGGGACAGCTGTTCCCCGTTCCAGTAGCTATCCAGGGCTAGATAAATAAGTCTGTCGTCATATGTGGCACTGTTCTTACCTTTGTGGTCGTGGGTAGCAATGACTTTGGAGCAGGGTGGACTTGATTTAAATCATAATTTAAATTTCAGATACCTGATTTTTTTGATCATTTAAATAAATTAAAATTTTAAATTGTGATTTAAATCAATGTAAATAAATTAAAATTTTAAATTGCGATTTAAATCAATTTGATCTTTTAAAAATAATCATTAATTTCTAGCCATCCTGTGTCTGGGTAAGCAGGAAGCAAAAGGAAATGGCTGGAAAGCTTCTGTGTCTCTTGTTTCTTCATTTATACAAAGAGGCTTCTGGAATTTTGCCTATAAATCTACCTAGGGGTCTTAGATGTTCATTTCCTTCTGGTGACCTCTGCTTTCATTTTGTGAAGTGAGGCTGAGTTGTGAATTATGCCTCTAATCACTTCCATTGACAGATACATTTTTCATGAAGCGCTTCATATCAGCCAACTGCTTAACTGGGGTAGTGTCATAGTGTTTTTTTTCCCTTTTCCTTTTGGAGGCTTGCAATTTTTCTGGACATACATATCAGGCGGTGTAAAAGTTAATTGGTAGCTTCCTAGGTTATTTTTTTCCCTTCAACTGAAGAGGCAAAGAAATGGGGGAGAGCGGAAAGCTATTATGTTCAGATTTCTGCCGCTTTGAAGATTGTGAACAAAGTAGGACCTCTTATATGCAGGATCAATATCTGCTGATTCACTTATCCACGGCCTGAAAATATTAAAAGAAAAATCCCCAAAATGTACGTATATTTCCAACAATGAAGTTATTGGAACTGGTCCCTAGAGGGAGCAAGAGACCACGCTATGGATAGCATTCGCTATTTTAATAGTGTTATAATTGAGTTTTTCAGCATCATAAAATAATGAAGTTGGAAGTGGGTCTACCCTGTTTCCCCGAAAATAAGACCTAACTTGAAAATAAGCCCCAGTGTGATTTTTCAGGATGCTTGTAATATAAGCCTTACCCCAAAAATAAGCCCTTGTTAAGTGAAACCCTGCCCTCCACCATTGCGCAGCAACCAGAAGATGATGTGACTATAAAATAAGCCCTAATACGCTTTTTGGAGCATGACCCTGTCTTATTTTCGGGAAAACGGGGCATAAGGTTATCAAGTCCAACCCCCTGATCAAGGCAGGAAGGATATCTGCCGGGTGCTTATCTAAATTTCTCTTGAATGCCTCCACTGTAGGAGCACTCACCACATCTTGAGGTCATGGGTTCCCTTGTCGTACTGGGAGCACTCACCACATCTTAAGGTCATGGGTTCCCTTGTCGTACTGCTCTAACAGTTAGGAAGTTTTTCCTGACATTCAACCCAAATCTGGCTTCCTGTAACTTGAGCCTAATATTATGTGTCCTGCATCCATGGGGTGTAGGAGCAGCTTGGAACCAAATCCCCTACTGATACAGGTCCCTATTTATTTTATTTATTTATTTATTCGATTTATATCCCGCCCATCTGGTATATTCTACCACTCTGGGCGGTTACTATATTCTTTTTGATTGAGCAATTGCCCGGCGCCCAAAATATTTTGCTGCCTGAAGCTATAAAATCCTCTTTTTTTAAATGGGCGAAGCGCAAAGTAGTGGTGGGTCCTTCTGTTTTTTTTCTGACTCCAACTCCCAGAAATCTTCAAGAATTCCCCAGGCAGACCTCTGAGAGTTCCCGGCCACCGAGCCAACAGTTTAAGGAACCGGGATTTCCCCTTCCTTGCAGACAAGACCTTCCTGCAGATGAACGAAAAGTAGGTGTCTGTAGTTAGACTGGAATTCCCAGAATTCTGTGGGGAATTCTCAGAGAATTCTGGGGATTGAAGTCCGTAAAAATTTTGCTTGATGAGAGTTTTCTGTTGGCCATACTGTACTGAAGATTGACCTGATTTGATCTTGATTGAAATGGCTCCAGAGATTAAGAATGAGTACCCCCTGCATATGTAAAGAAGCAGTAGGGTGGGCAGTTGTCAAAAAGAAAGCTAGGCTCCTGTAGGATTCCTAGCAGAAAGAGGGAGGGCACTGGGAGTCACTGTTTAATGAAAGGGCATCTATGTCTACATGAGATTCGGCAGAGCAGCCAACTCATAACAGGGCCAGATCACTTGGTTCATCATCCTTATCCTGCCGGACATCTTGCTACTGTTTCTTTCCAACTTTCGGGTTGTGTTTGTGCCCAAAATCGGAGATGTATGATCAGTTCTGCATTTTTTAAAAAAACGATGATGCCTTTTTATCAGCCGTATTTGTGTAATTTCTATGGATGTAAATCTACTGACTTTGAATAAATTCATAACAAAAGTACGATGTCGTGTTAGAATTATAGAATAATTCATCAGGGTTAGGGTGGTCAGAGATTAGGACAGCTATCCTTGATGTGTGTGTGGGGGGGGGGGGGGGAAGAAGCCCTGAAACTATCCCTTTGTGATTTTCGATCTCTGGCTGGGGAGCCAGAAGTTGGGAGTTCGCTTCCCTCCTGAGAGAAGAGCCAGCCTGGGTGGCCTTGGGCAAGCTGCACAATCTCAGGGCTCCCCTCCGAAAAATGGAATGCTAAACTAATTATGAGGATTCACTGTCTGGTAAAACCAGACAAAGAGTCACCCTAATTCAGAATCGATTTGATGGCATCTGATTATTATTAAAAGGAATCAAAGATCAGAGCACTTAGCCTTGATGGAAAACACACACACACACACACATACACACACACACAAACAAACAAAAAAGAATTATACCTTTGGGGGAGAAACTTGTTTAGTTCTATAAAATTTCAAAGGATTTTTAAAAAGAACTTCACCTGGAATCTCCATGCTTGCCTGTCTCCTTTCCTCTCTCCTTCTCCCCTCCCTCTCTCTTTCATACATGTAAATTTCTCATTTCTGGCACACAGATACCGGTGAAGGGATAAAGGCGGCTCCCTAGTGGTTCTCCTGTGTCGGAAGAGAGAGGCGGATCTGCTCTATAGACCTCCTTGGGCCCCAGAAACTTACCCATGGCCTCAAGCAAAAAAAGGGGATCGCATGCTATGTGCAAGGCGAACGATGCGAGAGCCCTCGGATCCCGTGTGTAGCCTTTAAGGATAAGCCCGAGCCGCATCCCGCAATCTTGCCTGAGAAAATGGTTTCCCCTAGCCAACGACAATGAAATATGAGCTGCAGTGGGGTTCACTTTTAAACTGTCAGTCTTTCACATCGATGCAGGACACGCAACAATGGACCGAAGTTACAGGAAGCCAGATCTTGGTTGAATAGCAGGAAAAACTTCCTAACTGTTAGAGCAGTACGACGATGGAACCCATGACCTCGGGAGGTGGGAAGCGCTCCCACGCCGGAGGCATTGAATGGAAAGTTAGAGAACCCCCTGGGAGATAATCCTTTGGTTTGTATTCCACCATTGAGCAGGGGGTAGGACTTAATGGCCTCATAGGCCCCTTCCAACTTTATGAGCTCTACGATTCTATAAAGATACATTTCTCAAAACTGGGAAACTGGGAAACTGGCCATTTCGGATATTGCCGGGTGGGGAGAGAGAATGAGAGTCGTTTGGTTTTGCACTTTTTTGAGGTCAGTACTGTTCCTGGACAGTCCCTGGGCAGAAAATTGGCCCTTTCAAAATGGCCCACTCCATCTTTATAGAGTAATGGTTCCCAACGTTGGGTCCCCAGATGTTGTTAGACTACAATTTTCAGAAGCCATCGCCACTAGTTGTGCCAGACAGGATTTCTGAGAGTTTTAGTCCAAGAACATCTGGGGACCCAAGGTTGGGTTCTAGAGCAGTGGTCCCCAACCTTGGGCCTCCAGATGTTCTTGGACTTCAACTCCCAGAAATCCTGGCCAGCAAGAGGTGGTGGTGAAGGCTTCTGGGAGCTGTAGTCCAAGAACATCTGGAGGCCCAAGGTTGAGGATCACTGCTAGATGCTCAGAGCATCATGCGGGGATGTGGACACATTGTGAGACTAGGACATGGGAGACCCAGATTCAGATCTTTTTCCAGCTATGGAGAAACCCTAGGATTCTGGGAGTCATAGTTCCACTGTCCATTAGGTGCTAGAAAGGGTGACTCCCAAAAAAACTGACTCCGAGTTTTTGGATTAATCCAAAAGTCATTTCAGGGAAGGAGTAGCAAAATGTAGAGGTCCGCTGATTCGTGTTTGGGCTGGAGCTTCCGGAATTCTGCCTGGGGACTGGAGGATTTTGGGAGCTGAAGTCCAGAAACACAAAAGAGTACAATCCCTAGTCTTAGAACTGCTCAGTGGCTATTCGTCCTGGTCAATGGATTTTCTCTCTCTCTCCAGAAGTAGTAGGCCTCTCTGTCAACAGAAGCCGAAGGCATTGAATCCCGTATAGGATATTACATAGTCCAGTGGTCCCCAACTTTGGGCCTCCAGAAGTTTTAAGACTTCAACTCCCAGGAATCCTGGCTAGCAGAGATGATGGTGAAGGCTTCTGGGAGTTGTAGTCCAAGAACATCTGGAAGCCGAAGGTTGGGGACCACTGACGTAGTAGATAGGCTGAGTGTGCTCTCCATGGTGCTGAACCCATTGGGTCAGAATAGCAACCCAATCTGGGGGATGAATTAAAAGGGCTGAAGATGGAAAGAAAATCTGCTTCTCCTCACCCACTTCATCTGGATCCAACCAGTGATTTTAAGATCTCTTGTGCATTTTTGTTGTTCCAAAGAATGAACAGAATTATCTTCTATTTAAATGGATCTCTGCCCCAAACACTGTTTCTAAGGTACTGAAATACTTCACGAAGGAAGGAAAGATGAAATAAAGGGGAAAAAATACCTGCCTGTTATGAATCTAGAGAACTGAATGATCTTACATCACTTATTTGGACTGAAGTAATTTATATATATATATTTAAATCTGCTCATTATAAAAGCGGCATGAATCAACCTTGTGAGATGGCATAATCCTTGCTTATGTTTATCTCCCATTTACATTTTTGCTTTTTAATCTGTTTTTAATAATAATTAAAAAAATGAAATACTACAAGATCTTCCACAAGACACCCAATTACATTTTTCAAAAAATCTTTGAGGTGACCACAGAACTGCAAAGAATTATGTTTGGGACATCAGTATTATTCCCAAAGGTATGATAATGGAGCATCACCTCACCAAAGTCATTGTCGTCATCATCATCATGTAAGACTGGTGCATTTCCCATTAATCTGTGACCAGAGTATGCAAATCGTAATGATGGGTGCCTCCTTCAGCCTATTTCTGTTTTCAAGACAAAGAAAATAACCAAGGAAAATGACCTGGTATTTCTTGTGAGCTATAGTACTCTGGGAGGCGTCCTCTCGAAAGCCTCATAGGGAGCAATACTGTGCTTCCCAGGAAGCACTGCAGCAACATGGGTATTGGCCCCGCCAAATATCTTTTCCATCATCTGCCGGGGCTGAATTTGTTCCAGGTAAGCATGAGAGACTAGGGACGTGGTGGCGCTGTGGGCTAAACCGCAGAAGCCTGTGCTGCAGGGTCAGAAGACCAAGCAGTCGTAAGATCGAATCCACGCGACGGAGTGAGCGCCCATCGCTTGTCCCAGCTCCCTCCAACCTAGGGGTTCAAAAGCATGCAAATGCGAGTAGATTAATAGGGACCACCTCGGTGGGAAGGTAACAGCGTTCTGTGTGTAAGTCGCACTGGCCATGTGACCACGGAAGATTGTCTTCGGACAAAACGCTGGCTCTATGGCTTGGAAACAGGGATGAGCACCGCCCCCTAGAGTCAAACACGACTGGGCAAAAATTGTCAAGGGGAACCTTTACTTTACCTTTAAGCATGAGAGAATGGTCTCCCGGCTGCTGATTATTTCTGGGCATGTGCCAAATTGCATGGGGTTCATGGTTGGCAATTTGTTCCCAAGATATAAGAGATCTCCTTTCTGTGGAAGTAATGTGACAGTTGATTCTGGGCAGTGGTTAGCAGCAAAATCAAGATATTGTTATGTGCTGCCCCTCTGAATGAGTGACTTCCAAAATGTCTTGACCTTAACAGTCCTGCTTATCTCCTGCAGATTCAAGGCTGTGGTTTCCTTATTTGACTCAGTCCATCTCCTAGCTGGTCTTCTTTTCCTGCTGCCTTCAGTTTTTCCTACCCTTATTGTCATCTTGACTTCTCATGATGTGCTCAAAACATGACAGCCTCAGTTTTGTCATTTTGCCTCTAGAGATACTTCAGGCATGGACAAAAACTTCTTCACACAACACAAAGAATTAGCAGCAGGAACAAGCCATCTTTGCCCATCTATATATTTGGGCATAGAAATTTCCACTAGCCTTCCCAGTATGGCCAATGGGAGGATATTAACTATAAGACTGCACTGCAGCCTCCATGTTCAGGGGGAGTAAAACACCAAAACAGAGCTTGGGGGGTGGGTTATACTCAGACTACAGTTCCCAGAATCTTGGTTTGTTATCTGTGGAGATGGGGATTCTGGGAGAGGTAGTCCAAAAACATACAAACAAGCAGCAAAAACCATGCAACATTTCCAAGCGCTGATAATTTACTTATTTATTTTAAAAAAAAATTACCCCGCCTTTCTCCTTGAAAAGGACCCAAGGTGGTTTACATCTTTGAAAGACAATATTTAAAGTTGAAAATAACAACTATACAATGGTGGTTAACATAAACTGTTAATTATTCAATTACACCCATTTATTCATTTCATTTCAGTTCAATGTAATTAAAATAATTGTTTGTATTTTATTGGGAAATTGCTTTTTGCTTCATGTGCCAAGATAGGTTGTCGGAGTCTGGGTGTTACGTTACTTAAATAAAGAGAACATTTTTTAACCCTACTGCAAGCAGGAAAATATTTTCCCAGCACTATTTTCAGATGCTACTGACTGAACATAAAGCATCTTGTATACTAAGCATAGATAATTATCACTGACCAAAGGTTGCCAATTTTTTACACCTGCAAGTGCCTATGCTTCTAATGGCTGCTTTGTCTGTAGGAATTAACAGACGAAACATCTCAGAGCATGGAGATAATGAAATTTCTCCCTTCAGCAATACTGGGGCTTGAATGATAAATGTTGTGTTTGAGGTCAGATAGATCTCTTTGATGCCTTCGGTGTTGAAACCATGAGGTTCCGGGTGGCCAGGGGACAGGATTTATTGAATATTCATTCATTCATTCATTCATTCATTCATTCATTCATTCATTCATTCATTTACTGGGGGGGAACACATCCATGTACACTATAACCAAAAAACAAAACTGTGTTCAGACCTGTGTAATTTAAGAGAAAAATGTAATGCCTCTGAAGGCAAGCTTAAGGGCACAGTTATAGAAGCTTGTTGAAAAGCTGGCACCAGAGGGGGGGGGAGGGGAAACATCGGTGATCTCATTGGAAGTGTCATTTCATAATCCTGAAAATTTTATTTTATGCATTTCTGAAAGCTCAATTATGGGGTTTGTTCAAAGTGTGATGAGATGTCTCCGGTGGGGAATGGAATACTGTTGCAAAAGCTTGAATCTGCTATAATGAGATGAGACACTGAAAAAGACAATCATGCTGGAAAAATCTGAAGTCAGTGAATAGAAGGAGGAATGTAAGCCGATTTTTTAAAAAATTATTTTATTTATTTATTTATTTTGCTGGCCTGCATCTAA